GTGCTGCCCACACCCGCCGCCCTCCAAGGGGCTGTGCTGATCGTGCCTGGGAGAGCGAGGCCGGGAGCACGCTGACCCCACGTGGTCAGCACCAAGGTCGGCGAGTCAGCCCTGGACCCCAGCCCTGCGGTCCCTTCGGGGCAGACGCCCAGCCCCCCCACCAGCCAGGAAGCCCGTGGAATGAGACACGCCTGGCATCTGCAGGGCTCAGCCCTCCGAGCTGCTGGCTGGCTCTGTCCTGGACCAACCTACACGGCCCACCACCTGCCCCGCCGGACGCTCTCTGCGTGGCCCGCACATGCTCAGAGGAGGAAGGGCTGTCGGGTCAGCCAGCTCTGCCCTGAGTTCAGCTGCTAAGAATAGCGGGGAAGGGGGAGGTGGACACAGCGGGTCTCAGGCAGAGGGGAGGCCCAACGCCCATCTGGGTCAGGGCCACAGACTGCCGGCACCTGCTCTTCCCACTGTGATCCCAGCTCCGGCCCCGTCCACCCGCCTAGGGAGTGGGGTCTGGAAGGGGGCAGAGGTGGCCCGCAGCACCCATTCTCTGGCAAGGCAGCGCCAGCCCAGTCTCCGGGACCACGCGCTCCTCCCGGCTGGAGCTGCTACTGACCCCTGGCTGCAGGGGCTGGAGATGCACAGAGCTGCGTCTCCGTGTAAATACAGGTGCCGGCCTGTGAGGGGCTCGGGCAGCAGTGTGAGAGGCTGCTGCCAGGCCCGGCCGGCGGGGCTCAGCGTTGAGCGTCGACCTATGAGCCAGAAGGTCATGGTTAGATTTCTGATCAGGAGCCAGCGAGTTGCGGGCTCGATCCCCGGTGGGGGGCGTGCAGGAGGCAGCTGGTCCATGACTCTCATCATGGATGTTTCTGTCTCCCTCTCCCTTCCTCTCTGAAATCAATACAAATATATTTTTAAAAGGCTGCCAGGCTCCTCACTGAACACGCCAGGGGCCCGGGGCCCAGGAGGCTTCCAGCAGTTCTTCCCGGCCCACACCTGGGAGGGCTGCTCTGGTTGGTTGGTTGTTTTTTGTAATATATTTGCACAAATTCATGCACCAGTGGCTCTCTGACATCCCGAGGGGTCCCGGACTGCGAGAGGGCACAGGCCAGAGACCAGGCCGAGGGACTCCACCGGTGCACGGTTAGGGCTGGGGAGGGACGTGGGAGGTTGCCGGCTGAGGACGGGCCTCGGGAGGGCTCCAGGGCGTGTCCAGCCCATCTCACCCAGTCGCAATCGGCCTGACCCCAGCAGTAAGCTAACTTACCTGTCGGAGCATCTGCCCCCTGGTGGTCAGTGCACGTCATAGCGAGTGGTTGAAAGGCCTTAGCATTTCATTAGCATATTACACTTTGGTTGAACGGCCAACCGGACGACCAGACACTTAAGCATATTAGGCTTTTATTATATAGGATTGATTTCAGAGAGAAAAGGCGGAAGGGAGAGAGAGAAACATTAATCATGAGAGAGAATCATTGATTGGCTGCCTCCTGCACACCCCACACTAGGGATTGAGCCCTCAACCCGGGCCTGTGCCCTGATAGGGAATCAAACCGTGACCTCCTGGTTCCTAGGTCGATGCTCAACCCCTGAGCCACACTGGCCAGGCAGGCTGCCCTGGTCTTGTGCCCGATCTGCAGAGCAGCTGTGGGCAGGCGACCTGAGATGGCCTCTCAGTGCCCCGCACTGCCCATCTGGCCAACCCCAGCACTGCCTGCCCTTTCTGGACCTGCCTGCCCAGGCCCCGCCCAGGGCGTCCCGTCCACACAGCGCTGACCAATGGCCCTGCACCTGCTCGCCCTCCTGGCAGCCACGGGGGCGGCGGCAGGATCATTTCTGCTGTCACATGAGGTAGGGGTCAGACGGCCCTGGAGCAGGCCCGGACTGGGGCTGGGGTGGAGGCAGGCAGCAGCCCCCCAGAAGTAGGAACCCCTTGGCCACCACAGCCACTTAAAGGAACAGGCAACAACGCTGCCCTCTCAGCTTGCCCAGAGAACAGAGGCTGCGAAAGACAGAACAGCCTGGGCTGGCAAGAGGCTGAGCAAGAGGGGCAGTCCCAGGAAGGAGTAATTTAGCAACAACCTTCCATGTGATTGTGGTTCAAATACTCTAGCCACACGACTCCAAGCCCGGCTAAGGGTGGACTCCACCCCCGAAAACACGCCCACCAGGATCAGTTTGCAACGTAGGAAAACACTCAGGGGATATGTTGATGACAAAAATGGGATTTAAATTTCTAAACACTTTTGGAGCTGAGAGCTATGTCCATTGTCTTGATGGTATGATGACTTCACAGGTTATCCGCAATTCAAACTCACTTTATACACAAGTGGTTTATTGTATGTCAATTATTCCCTAATAAAACTTAAAAAAAAAAAAGAACTGATGGAGACAGAAAATTTTAATTAAAAAAAAAATTCTAGCCCTGCCCGGTTTGGCTCAGTGGATAAAGCGTCGGCCTGAGGACTGAAGGGTCCCAGGTTCGATTCCGGTCAAGGGCATGTACCTTGGTTACGGGCACATCCCCAGTAGGAGATGTGCAGGAGGCGGCTGCTCGATGTTTCTCTCTCATCGATGTTTCTATCTCTCTATCTCTCTCCCTTCCTCTCTGTAAAAAATCAATAACAAATTTAAAAAAACTTCTATTCAGCATAATTCAAACTATACAGATTGTGAGATGGAGAAATCCCGCCCTAACAGGCACCTTAGCTAATGTGCGGACAGGTGCCTTTTCTGCTTCTAAGTGTCTGCTAAGACGCACTGGGACTGATACGGGTTAAACTTGCAAGGAAACGGCC